TTCCTTCCTTCCTTCCTTCCTTCCTTCCTTCCTTCCTTCCTTCCTTCCTTTCTTTCTTTCTTTCTTTCTTTCTTTCTTTCTTTCTTTCTTTCTTCTTTTTGAGACAGGGGTTCTCTGTGCAGCCCTGGCTGTCCTGGAACTCACTCTGCAGACCAGGCTGCCTGACCTTGAACTCAGAGAGACCCTCCTGCCTCTGCTCCTGAGTGCTGGATTAAAGGAGTGTGCCACCACCAAGGATTTTTTTATACACTTCTGACTGGAGGGCTCACAAGAATCAAATACTCAACATAAGGAGACCTGAATTCATTGGCTTTCGCCCTAAACTGGCCAGGGAAGGAGGGATGGAAGGAGGAAGGGAATGCTCAGAAGGGAAGGATTAGGATTGGAGGTGAGCTGGGGGAACCTAACAAAGACTTCAGACTGGGTGGTGCAGAAGAAAGGGAAGAAAGGCACCCACACACCCAGGCTCCACCCACTGGTTTTGCTCTGGGTACTTCCATCCAAAGACCGTACAGCTCTGTGATGGGATCTGGGGCATGCTTCATGGCCATGGCCTTTACTACAGACCTAGATGCCCACCCCCACACACAGCTGCTCTCTCTCCTTGCCCTTCTCCCAGGAGACCAGCTCTCCATCACTGGTCTGCAGCCAAGGCTGGGGGCAGAAGAACTTTCTGGAGGATTTGAGTGGGAAAGGCAACAGAGCCTCATGTAGGGACTAGAACCACGGGGAAGCCTGTGAGAGGTGACAGGGGTGTGTGCCCTACCAGGTGTATTTATACCAGGGCTGCCTCCACCCCTGTCCCACACCATGGAGTCCAGAGGAGTCCTCTCCCCTCCCTCTTTGGGGGGGGGGCATTTGGGAAAATTTGGAGAGAGACAGAAGTCAGAGCTCAGCACTTTCCTCTTTCTGTTTTTCTTCTTGAGGAATTTTTTTCCCCAACTGCTGATGACTTTACCATTCTTGGGGGTGGAGGGGGGGGGTGGAGATTCTGGCTTTTGCTCCCCCTACACTCCAAGTGCCGGACAAAGCCCTACATTCCAGAAGAAGCCAGAGCT